TGCCTGGAAACACTCGCAGGCACATATTTTAATTTAAGCTGCTCTGTTTGACTCCTCTGATCATCTGGGTTTTCATTGTCACTGCTTCACAATAATTTAATGTCATATATAATGGCATCAAATTGGGGAAAGCCCTAAAAGCTGCCAATCCAAAGTGATCTGAATGTTCCTGCGTACAAGCCTAGATAAGCTTGATTTGTTTGTGCCAACATTATTCATTACATTCTGTGTCTAACTGGGCCAGTGTTCTCTTGCTTTTGCATTTTCAAATCCTCTTTCAGCATACACTGAAGCTTCTTAATCAGTGTGTTTTCTATACTACAGTTAACAAAATGGTTGAAAGTATGCATTTGAGACCCCCCCAAAAAATGTATTATGATGAAGCTTAGCACACTACTATCTAAACATTTTATCATACTGTTCCTTCACTTGGTTCTTGTTAAACAATTTTCATTTTGTTTGCCGCTAGAAGAGGAGAGTTGGACCACATGTGCAATTCAACGTTTGTTGTAGATTTTCATTTAATGATATTACAGAGAGCTAACTACCCTTAATGAAAACTTATTTGTGAGTCTACTCCAAAGCTGATCATATATGTCTTCTTGGGAGGAGAAGAGTTTTATTTTATAGCTAATTAAAAGTTTCTAAAGATGCCATAGATTTTTTTTGGTGCAAATTAAAATTAATTAGAGTTATTAAGGAGCCATGAAAAGAAGGATTTGAGAAATAGTGAGAAATATTATTTAAACCCTAATGGAATTCAGTGAAACCCACAGGTCTATTACAGGCCCCTGATTTGCCAGGATCACTGCAGGGAATCTAACATTAATAAGCACACTGGTAATTAAATCATTTGTTACTTTGTCTGTAATGTTGTAATGTTTCACTGATACTCTGTCAGAGCTCTTTGTGCAGATCAGAGCTAATCAAAGGTAATCAATTTTCAGCATTTGAGAAATCTGTAAATGATTATACATTCATCAGATCATTTAGTGGAGTGCAAGGAAAGTGCAATGCAATTAATCTTCCTGCATGAGGAGGAATTACCACCACAGAATTCAACAGTTATAATTAATTTCATTGTCTTGCTGTGAATTTTGATTGCTTTTCTTTGGACTGTATAGTACAAATGATGATTCATTGCAAAGTATTTGCAAAGCAAACACACCAGTGTGCTATGCAAATTAAAGTAGCTGTATAACAGATAGGTTTCAAACTTCCTATTTACTCAGGGTTGTTGAGTACTAATTTGCCAAATAGTAATTGCTTGTTAACTTTATACACTCTTCCCTTGAATATCAAGATTGGTAACCAACATAAATAGAAAGCACGTGCTATTTTGTATCTTATGGTATGTATGCAAAATACTAGTTAGCGCTTAAACTTGTTCGCTTTACCTAATAACTTAGCATTAAAAGATGGTTATTTACCTGTGAAATAGTTTGCTATTTCTTTACTTACACAGATAGATAGTAGCAAAGAAATTATCTTGTAAATCCATTGCTTTTTCCATTATTGGAACTAGAAATCTTTAAGAGATATTCACTTGAAACATTTGATTCTTAGAATCTATTTGTATCTAGAATGTTGCTTGTTTTTATAAAGTACGTAATTTTTGGGACATAGTAGGGTGTTGCCCAAACATTCTCCATAATTTACGGATTTCTTATATGATTTCTTTTTGGTTTCCCAATATTCTGTTCATTTAAAAATGTGCCTATGGAAACAAAAACTGATTCTAAGCCACCTAAGGGTTCGTATCCCACATTTAGTAATAAATGAAATGATTTTCTTCAAAATGAAATCAAGGTTAATGACAGACAATGAAAAAAATGTGTATAATTTTAGTGCTAACTGTTTGCCAAATGAAGCCAATTCCTATGGTAAAGTGTGGAGCACAAAATTTCTTTTCTTTAAATCACTCTGTGAGATCCAAATCTCTGTTTTCCTCCAGATTAAACTCTGTAAGTCTTGAAATCAGCTCTGATTCTTTCAATTCGTACAGATTCATGAGCATGAAATCCTATTTTAATGTTTCTTAATCAAGAAATTGAACTATGTGAATCCCAATTGAAAACCAAGATAAGATGTTACTTTTCCCTCAAATACATTCTGTATGTGATGTTACTGAAGCTTTATTTTTAAGCTGTGAATCAGTTTAAATTAGTTCAAACCATTACTTGCTAAAACCAGAAGGGTTAATTTAAGTTTTTTCTATTCTGAAAAAAACAAAACCCAAAAAACCTTGAATGGGTTAACTGACTAAATTTAGACATCCAAATCATGTGCAATAAAAATGTCAAGGTATCTTCACTTAAAATTCATGGTAAGGTAAGTAATACTAGGAAATAGACCAAAATAATACAAACATAACAGTAAACTAATGCTACTTTTTTCTGAGAGAATTAAATTATTAAGTTGGAATTTGGAAGTCTGGAAATCCAAAGAAATAAGTCAAACAACAAATGAGGCCTCCAAACCACTATTTTTCTGTCAAAATCAATAAAGCAGCTATGGGAAAATTCTTTGATATCATCAAATCTTTCAGATATTTTGAAATATGTGTCTAATGTGGAGATGCAATGCATGCCTCATTCAAGATTTTGACAAAGACAAATAGCATACAGGTGCACAAAATTCCCTATTTTTTAACCTTAACTATACCCACATTGTCTATTTTTTTCATAAGAACTGTTTCTCTTTATTCAAGTTGCTAGTATCTTCTCTTTTAATGATTTTCCGTTGTTACCAGCATCATAACGATCCTATTTATCAATTCCTTCCAGCTTCTACATTTGATACACCATGCTGCTTTCAGGTATTTCAGTCGGTTCAACCATTATTATATACTAAATATAGTTAAACTAATTTAAAATTATTTGAACTGCCAAGCTTAGAAAATTCACTTAAGAAAAATTTATCTCCTCAATTGATGTCTTCCAACATGATTTCCTAAGGTTGAATCTCCAAATATTAATCCATTGATCATTTTGACTAAATTTATTGATCAAATCATTTGGAAAAAGATAGTCTCTCTGAATTAATAGAGGAAATAGAGATATAAACACAATATAAAACAGGGATGGAAGAAAATTTAAATATACAATGTAACATGTTTTGTATGAGGATCATGGGTTTGGAGTTAAAAAAAAAAGCTTGATTCAAATCCAGGGTTAACTTCTTTAAAGTGGTGTGCTCTTGGGAGACTTCTCTTATGTAAACTTTCTAAGTTTCATCTGTAAAACAGGAATAATAATCCACTTTGCAGGAAGTGTTTTATTGCAAATGTCCGTTAACATGATTGGCACGTTGTAGGCACTCATAGAATGAAAGCTGTTATTATGATCCATGGAATGAAGAAAAGGAAATACGTGAAGTGATGGTGGAAATAGAAGAAGAAAGAGCCCTAACTTCAGGGTTTGACGTGTGAGTATAAATCAGTGTTTCAGTCATATTGGCCTCTTAGTTACAAGTATCAGGCTAGCAAAAATAATGTTATTGATTAAATCATTTGAAACACATGATTTGGGTTGGGGCTAGAGATATCATGGACTTCTCCAGTCACTGTATCCAAAAATGTTTTTCTTTTCTTTTCTGTTAACACCTTTGAACTACTCCAAGCTTCTATATTTGAATGTTCATCACCTTAGGACTCTTGCATGTATCTATTTTTTCTAAAGTTTCTATAGGTCTCCTGAATTATTACCTTCTTCTTTATTTGCATTGAGACAAACAAGTTTGAAATGGCAGACATCTTTCAGTTATTTCTACTACCCTGCTCAACATTATTTTTATCAACAATAATTCAGAAAATTATTAGATTTATCATTAATTTAGTTAGGCAATGATTTTCTAGATAGGGACTGTAAAATCTGAGACATACAGAAGCTTTTGGCTCACCAGAAGTTAATTTGAAAAATCCAGTAAGAGTCGATATCAAGCTATCAAAAGGCAACCTAAATATTTTTTTAAGTTAAAATCTCTTGGAAAGATAGATTTTCATGGTATAGTTTCTCCATAATTCTTGGCTCTTTCCTAAATCGCTTGTAAAATTTTCTAGTTTGAATATACGTGAAAAATTTTTGTAAGTGAAAAATAAACTCAAGGATAGTTTTGTAAGATTGGAAAAATCTGTTTTATTTTGATTTTAATAATTACAAACTCCCAAAGCCCCTTATCTGTCATTTAATTAAAAAATTGATGAGACGATGTTTTTCCCTAATGCAAGATTCAGGAAGGTTTTTTTGTTTTGTTTTGGTTTTTGTAACTCAGTAGTTATCTTTATTAACATAGTGTATTTGATGACTATTTGCTTCTGGTAAAATTTCTATGATTCACCTACTAAATAACAATTGCTTTTTTCCTTTTTAAAATTTTTTTAATTCAGAAAGTCTAACTTTATTTTCTTGGACATCCAAATGGCTTTGAGGAATTCCCATCTATAATAATGAATAAAATGCAGTTGGGGAATGAACCAATTATATTTTTGGCCGATTTTTACAAGTGTTGTTCTGTTCTCTTAAAGCACTAGTCTTTGAAATTTTTCCTTCATATAAGATGGAAAGCAATATAAATAATCTATCTGACTTAAAGGATATGGGAAAAAAAGAAAGAAAACTTGATAGGTTCTTGCAATATCATAAATTATGTGAAACATGAAAAAAGCGTGCATACATAACACCTTTCCTGTCTGGCTTCATCTGTATTCATTTGTTGTCAAAACAGGTTTCCATATTTAACTTCTTTTTTTGATTATGCCTTTTCCTTTATTTTATGGAATGATATGTTATTATCTCTGAAGTATAGATTTCTGCCAAGTTCTGTGCACTTCAGTGTTAAGAGTATGGCCCACAACTCTGGGAATCTTTGTTGAAGCTGTAGAAATAAAATGAATAGTATAAAAGCTTGATGGCATCTGTGGATAGGAAACTCATTAAAGGCCCCAGCCCTCTGTTTTATTTCTAACCACATTTTCCCTGTGGGATTTCAATGTCTTGCAGGATGAAACCAGCAGGACTCATTCCTTACAAAACAATGTTTAGAGTCCTTTCGTGGTGCTGGAATGCTTCTGCCAGTCAGGTAAAGAACCTAGGCCTTTATCCTTTTGGGGACAATGCCGGCCAGCTCACAAACTGCTTGGAAAAGTCATGCCTTTGAATGTAACTGCAGGTGTTGCTCCGCAAAGGCTGTTGGTTGGTACCCTCCTATGCAATGTACAATGGGATAATAGAAAATTCACTTTGGAATTCAAACAAAGTCTTAGAGAAATGGAAATAATAGGAACACAATTTTGAGACTTCCTTAGTTTTTCCCACGAACTATGGACCATGACTAATACCCTCGGGGCAAAAAACATCCCTTTGCCTTTAAGGGATGTATACAATTCAGTGTTTCAGATAAATAAGTTCCATGACCTCACCAGTTTTGTGACTTCCATTCATTTACTAGAAAATAAATTTAAGCAAGAGAGGAATGCCCTGTTATGGATAGAACTTCAAAATGCTCAATCTAATAAAAGATCAATATATTTGCATATAAAGTAGAAGAGGTTTTTGTTTTTTTCCTTTCTAAAAGAAATCATTGCTCTAACTGGGTTCCCTAAATCAAATTAGTATAGTTCTGACTGAATTGCCTTTCTCTCTTTGGCACTGTGGCTAGTGGCATTTTGGAAATATTCTTAGAACTTGTGAAATTCCTGCAAGAATAATAAGGACCTTGCTATTGTGGAATCAAAGAGATTCAATCACTTAAAGTAGTACTATAGGCTTGTCAAGTGGAATTGCTTTTACAGATTTGCTGAATAACTCATCCATAATGGCTGAAAATTTCAGCCATTTTGTTAAAACACCCAAGGCAGAAGAGATTAGTGCGCACCATAGAATAGCATATGTATAATCGGTAAGAAGTTTAGACCACGTCGGCACTGTGAAGTACCATTTAAACATCCCAAGCTCGAGTCATTACATTATGGAAAACAATGTGGGCTATCTAAAAAATGAAGTGTGGCTTGCCCTTCGCTAGCTGATGAGACTTCAATAGCGTTGAAGCTTGATAAAATGTATTTCTAAACAAAGTTGCTATCTTTACAGCTTATCTTTACAGAGGAGAAGGTCATGTAGAATTTGTCTGGAGGGAATCTGAAAACGGTTAAATGTGGTAACAACAGACAAAAAGTTAAACAGTGAGGAAGTGCTAACCTAGTTGTTGAAGAATTAATATCAATTAGATTCCTATTAATAATAATAGGATAAGCTGAGAACAAACATCTGGGTCGCTAAAGTGAGACACCATTAAGCTCTTCGCTTTTAAACACACTTTTGACAATGGAGACATGTATGTTATTTGTCAATGGGTAAGTTTCAACTTGTGGACTTCCGGTGTTTATTTTCACAATTCAATGTGAATTCTGAAAAAGAATCAGGAAATAAATTGCCATTTCTAAAATTGTCCCTCAGGCCTCTTGCACTTCGCAGAAGCTATTGTGAAAGTAGGTCTGGGGGGTGGGGGTGGGGAAGCATATTTTTAAATGTCAAATTCACCTCTCATTTTCTACATAGAAAATGTCATGAATACTATACTTGAATTTGTACAAAGGCTCAAGTGGACTTCATGGAGAATAAGTTTTTTTTTCCCACTTATACTTTGAATTTTGAATTTGGGGGGTTATATTTATCTTGAGTTATATATGGCATTCAATGGAATAAAAACATGAATATAGAAGTTATCTTCAGCTTGAATTTAAATTCATCTGCTTATTACCTTGTTTAAACAATAAAAAGGGAAAATATTCCCCAGGAAAGATATTTAAATACCAGTTTGTAAACAATGATGTCACCTTGTAATTTGAATGAAATATTAATGGAAAGAAGAACAGATGAATATCAGATATATTATGAATAGAGTAAATGCAACAGAAGGGTATTTTCTATCAAAAGAAAGGTGGTAAGAAACTTAATAGATATAATTCAGTCTCAGTAAAATTAGTACATTTGGAAGAGGATATACAGAAGTCATTTAGCTTCCCTGTTCCAAGAATTGCAGAAGTCTATACACATTCAGATTAAAAAATTGAGTCAGAAGGATGATAACTCAATCAACAGTATCTTTTGGTTTTTACTGTTCACATAGCTCTTCCCAGAGGTCATGCAGTAGGTCAGTTGCGCTGTCAGGAATCCAGCTTTAATTCTAGCACTCCTTCTATCACATTCCTACATTCTCCAAAGCAAAGTTGCCTACCTGGAAAGGATTAGAAAATTTCTCTTGCACACAAAGCTATTTAAAAAAAATCAACTAATTAATCCATCTAATGAGTCATTCAGTAGTAAAAGCAGGATTTATTTGATATATTCCAAATAGGCCAGTTATTGCTGCCTCTTCTTCCAAAGCATATCAAGTCCCTCTCTACCGAGCTTTCTCATTCCAGTTAGCTGTGCTTAGGATTTTACAGGAAGCCAATAAATAACTTCTTTTTCTCTCCTTAATTTAGGCTCAATTAAAAGATACGTATTTGAAGCAGCCGGACAGAGCTCAGAAGGTCAGTTTTATTACTGGGGCATGGTGGAGTGGAGGAGGGGAGGCCTGCCCTGCTCTGTTCTCATAGTTGCCAGGAGAACTTTGGTCCAGTAGCTGGGACAGTGTGTGGATGAGGAGGGCCCTGCAGGAGAGGTCCACCACTACGAGCAGCACCAGGGAAGTATGCAAACAATATGGGCTGTAGACTCAGACCCGGGCTTGAGTTCCAGCTCTGCCACCTAACCAGACTGTGACTGTCGGCAGTCTTAAGTGACCAGGCCGTGGGACGCAGGTCAGAGTTCGCAGTAACTTGCATGTGTGTGAGGTTAAGACGTAAATGTACGCATGCGCTAGTAGCATGAGTCAGCATTATGAACAATACGCATGCGCGGGCATAATAAAAGGTCAAGTGCGCACACCTGAGTGTGCTGGCCACCGGCTTGTACTGCAATAACGTGCTGTTTCACTCCATGTGGGCTCCTCGTGCCTTCTTCTGGTTGGGCGGCTCACCTCCTCAGTCCCTCTCCAGCCTCCCGTGGCAGACAGTGAGCTTGGCACATTACTTGGCCTCTTGCAGCCTCATACTTTTGTATGTGAAAATGGTACTGAGCTTTAGATTTGTTGCGATGATGACATTAAGAACTGTATGGTACGTGCAGGACATGCAGTGCTGGAATCATACATTTTCATTGCTTTCCTCTTGTTTCTTTTTTTTTAATTTCTTTTTTATTTTTATTTTTAAAATTTTGTTTCCTTTTTTAAAAAATGTTTTTCTTTCTTTTTTTCTTAAGTGGGGGAGGTAATTTTAGGTTTATTTATTTGCTCATTTTTTGAACACAGGTACTGGAAATGGAACCCAGGACACTGTGCATGCTAGGCATGCACTCCACCACTGAACTATACCCTCCCTGCACTTTCCCCTTAATTTCTTACAGGTGAAAGACAACTTTGCTTATTTTAACAGCCTCAGCTTTGGCATCCTGATTCTACACCAGCCAGCATGGGAGACAGGAGGGAAAGAGCTTTTTTCCTCCCGACGTGCGCCCATCACGCTTCATGGCTGAGCGATGACTGTCATGTTGTTCTGCTGCTGCTACAGCTTGTATACCAACCACTGACTGTTCTCACGACGACACCATGAAGGGAAACTGTCACGATTCCCATTTCACAGGTGACAAAGAGACGTAACAAAGTCATGGAACTTACCTAAGGTAAGAGTTTCTCAGAGTTCAAGTGGAGATTCAAGCCATGTGACCTACTTCTAGAGCTGAAATTAACAACTGTATTAGATGTGGAATTGGAAAGACTTGATCACTTTTTTCCATGGTTTCTGTTATGATCAAGCACATGTATTTTCAGGTTAAAAGTAGAGTCCAAATCTGTGAGGAAACACAGAAGCACACTTGGGAGAAGCCAAGGCTTATGCCTGAACCTTGTTTTTCTGGGTAAGAGCCACAGCCTTCTATCTGGGAATAACAGTTCCTTTGTACTGCAACCTTAAGTCAAGTCACCATTCCTGTTCTCTTGGGAAATGATCAATTCTGGTTTTGCACCTTCCACTTCAAAGAAGTCTGGCTCGATAATCAATGGTTGTGGAGGAGGAGATGGGCCACCTGCCTCCCTGGCTTTTCTGTGTGGTCAGCAGGAGGCTGTCCCCAATGTCTGTCGACCTCTCTGTGGAGAACAGAAGTGAATGTGAGCGCCACTTTCTTTTTTATCCTCTTCATTAAGACTGCTATTACTTTCAGATTTTCTTATGGACATAGTACTTAAGATTTACAATATATTTTCAGTGTCTTGAATGTTTCAAAACTGTGCTCAAGGTAATATCATTTTAAAGGAAACCTAAAAGCTAGGAATGCTTTTATCAGTCATTCATTCACTCATGTATTCACTTATTCATTCAACACGTGGATATTGTGCGCCTTCTCAGGGATGAGCCTTATCACGGGCGCTGAGGACCCAGCAGGCAACACGACAGGCGAGATGCCTTTCTTCACAGAAATGCCTGCCTCAGAGGAGACAGAACTCGTACCCCAGAGGTAAGGCCTTGGATGTCCCATTTCATCAATCCTGATCATGTTTAGCTAATAACTAGAAAAAAAAGAGAACATTTCACTTAGTGAAATGCACCCAATATTTTAAAACTACCTGAATAAAAAAAATGACTCCTAGTCTTTACTGGGTGAAAACTAGCCCATTTTGATAGGTACAGGTTTTAGCATAATTAGCTTCTGTCTCAGAAAAAATGATGGTAATTTAAATTAACAACAGCATTTGCAACTGCAAATCAGGTAAATCAAGTAATATCTAAATAAATGAAGTTTGGTTTCTAGAAACGTATCAAACGATGTCCAGAAAATGTAGTATACAACATGAGAACATCTATCTAGCTGTCTCTTTATCTATCTACATACATAATAGCTAATACATTTACTATTTTTGATGCAGTTGAATTTTTTTGCCAGGTTCTATGACTTAATCAATCAAACGAACACTTTAATTACCTATACTTCAGTAACAAAACTTTGAAGAGAAGTGTACCTTGGAATTTTCCAGGTTTTTATGATTCTTCGGGAAAGTAGTATTGCACACTGCCTGAAGAAGGTGCTCATAGTTTTACTTCCTGCCTAAGACACTTACATTTTCTATTTTAAACATTTCTTTTCTCTGACATTTGAATTCATCATTCACGTTTGTGACATGTTTTCATATTATCATTTAATACTGATGTCAGTACCAAACAGTAATAAGGGTGCAAACATCTGTTGTTTACTCTGAAATGATTAGCTTCCATATATAATAATAAAAATTTACCCTATTGCGGTAACATTTAAGAAAAAAAACTTGCAGACATTTTGGACTCTGGTGATACGTTTAAAAAGGCAATGGAAAATCAGCTATGTGAGATTTGCCTGCTAGTTGCTTAATCCCAATAAAATCTCAGGTAAGTGAGACTAAAGTTCATTCCAGAAAATGTTTAGGTGAAGGAGAGTCTATCAAATATATGCGTAGGCCTGTTGAGTGTTTAACTCCGCTGAGGCTCAGAAACAATCCAACCAAATTGATAAAACCACCTAAACTTCTGGTAAGGAAGGTCCGTCATGTTACTGTCCTTTCCCAAGTTGGCTGGTTGTTCCTTTGGTGACATTCAGGGATAAGACACAGCTGGCTGATAATACTGCTTTCCGCTGAAATGGAAATATCTTGAGGCATCACATTTCTTTGCCTGGCTAACCTTTATTTCTTCTTTGAAATTGTTCTCAGACATTATATTCTACAGCATGCCTTCCCTAAACCGTCTAGATTAGGCTAAATGTTCCTCCTTGAAACTCACAGCATCTGGTGGATAGTCCTCAGAACTCATCATGGGATTATATTTGAATCATCTCCTAGCTGAAAACCTTCCCTATTAGACTATAAGCAGAGACCCAGCTTTACTCATCTGTGTCATCACTGGTACCCAGTATAGCAATATATTGCCTGATCGTGGATAAGCAGCCAAAAGTTGGATAAAAATGACAAGAACATTACATCAGGCAGTGTGCTAGGCAGGCCCAGGATGAGGATGTTTCTTTCCTTTAAGATCTCATCATCTAATAATCTGGACGTAAATAAATACTACCATAGAGTACGCACAAGTTGCAGTGGGGAACAGAGAGGGGAAATAAATCAGCTCAAGGGAGAGGGAACGCCAAGAAAGGCTTTTGGAGGAGGTAATGTGGAGACCAGATACTGAAAGATGTGTAGATTCTCATTGTTTCATTGATTACCTCAAGAGTAAGAGAGCAAGACAACTTTGGAAAATGGCAGTTTAATATGTCTTCAGTTTAGGATTTTAAAGGGTAGAAAATGGTACTGAAAAAGTAGATAGATGTAACTTGAAATGCCAAGTACTTAGTTTTTTAACCTGCAAAATGAGAAGCCATTGAAAGACTTTAAGCGGTAGAGTGATAGAGTAAAGTTTAAATTTGAGAATGAGAATCCATGGTAGCATGATGGAGGATGAGTGACTGGGGATGCAGGAAGCAAGGAGCAGTGAGGAGAATACTAAGCTGGAAGTAAGCTATGCGACTCAGGGATAGATTAGAGATATACCAAATAAGTAAAATCAAGAGGGCTTGGTGAATTGAAGGATGAGGTGTTTGGTGTGGTGAATTCAGTTTTCTGGATTGGCCCACGGGAGGTATGAAGGTGGCATTCACTGAGAAAAGCAGTGTGTGAGGATAAGGATGTGAGCCCAGTTTTGGACAAGGTGTGTTTGAGGAGTCTGGTGACCAGGAAGAGGTCCAGTCGATAAGAAGGTAGATAGAGCTGGAGTTTAAGGGTGAGGTCTGCAGTAATGATACAGATTTGGCATTTTTCATGCTGCTTGAAGCTGTGGGTGTTAGAGTGGACACTGACATTTTGCACACAGATCTCCTGGGATCCCTTTTGCATTTTCTATTTTCTAGCCAGCATCCCCACCCCAGCTTCCATACAGCCTCGTATCTAGTGGTCTGTACCTGTGCAGAGCTGCCCTCGGGAATGTGGCTGCTGTGTCTGCAAGCTCAGAGAGCTGGAAGTGTCTGGTGGTTTCAGTGCCAAGGGGCAGACCGTAGCCAGCTGTCAAGTGGTACAGGAGTAGAAAGCCCTGCGCTCTTGCCTCCAGTTGGGGCAAACTGTGAGATGTAAGTTGCATTAGTAGGACTTTGCCCCTAATTGCACCTTTGCTTGGTTTGATCCCACTTCCTGTCCTGCTCCCCTACTCCCTTATTGGTCTCCCTGGGAAGCACTTATTTAAAGAATCATTTGCACACAAATTCTCATCTCAAGGTCTCTTTCTGGGAATGTGTACCTAAGACATTTTGTGAATAAGACCACTCAAATAGAGTATTTAAAATAAAAAGGACAAAATATCCAAGTCAGGAACTCAAGGGAGTATCACCAGTTAAGAGATAGGCTGTGAGATCCATTATCTTGAATCCCATGATTGTGGGTAGGGCCAACTTAGGGGTTGGAAACTGTCCACTTAGACTTGGTGATTTCTTCATCCCTTCTCTCTGGCAGGACCAAATTCCTGCTCTGATAAATGTGAAGAGATGAGGGGATTGCCTGATGAAGTGTCGCAACGACACTGGTAGCAAGGACGCTGATAAGCACATCTTGGCCATAACAGAGAAATGAGCATGTTCTATGGCCAGGTGGATATTGTGGATTTGCTTATTAGGAAAGAATGAAGATGCATTACTTCATATATGGGGAGGGGCTGCCATTTTCCCCCTTTCACTCAGTATTATGTGGTGACATCTTTCTCTGCAAATAAATATAGATCTGTATAATTTTAAATTACTGTATTGCCTATTGTTATGTATATGAATTATGGTTAAATACATAATTAATCTCTTACTGATGGATTTCTTGTGTTTTCCCACTTTCTTATTATGAATGATGCGATGAACAACCTAGGACACATGTCTCATTTTGAATAGTTGAGTGTTTTCTAAGGGAAAATTTCAAGTGCGATTTATTGCTAAGGCTAAAATGTGTTGTACATTTTGACATGGGTAGTTATATGAATTTTTAAATTGATAAACCATATTCATGTGTATAATTTATAGTTTTTTTTCTCATGATTTGACATCACCACTATTGTAAGCCTCCATTTCTACGTGACAGAAAATGTTGTCTAGTCAATTTCAGGTTAAATCAGTTCAAAAGACTAACCTAATACCTGGTTAATGCAGGTTAAAAATTCAGCCATGAGGATATTTACATTTTCTGCTCTGTTTCTTCCTCACCACATCCTCTCCTGGGTCAGTTCCCAGTTCTAAGGGCCTTATGCAGCCACCCCCAGGGTTGAGGAGGGAAGGACTACTTCCTGCTGTTTCTGCTCTGGCTCTGAATTGGTTCTGCACTGGCATTTCCCCCAGATGTAACTTATCACAAAGTGTCCAGTGTTTCTTCAGTGATTAGTCTTTTGTTTTAATGAAACCCTGCTTGGATCTTTGGCTTAAGTCATTTCTCCAAGATGCAACCATATTGTCCTCAGGTTTCTGGCTGGAACCAGCTCCTATCCTGGCCATATGACCCCTGAATCCCTGCTGTTTCTCTCAGCCAATCTTCATATCCCACTTGACACATGGATACTTTGGGTTTCCTACCACACCAATTAGGGGACACAAACAACCTTAGGAAAACTAAGAAGTCTAATGACATCTCCCTTAAAGACCTTTTTTCTTAGTCTTTATGAGAAGATGTAATGCACTAGGTAATTCTGAAGACAATGAATTTGAACTTGGGGAAGTTGAAGTATTGAAGAACAGCTGAGGACAAAAAACAGACTATGAGGAAGAAATGTCAGGCAATGTTAAAAGTACAATGTAAGTTTCAGGCCATAAATTTCTAGTGGAAAAAAAGCTGGACAAATATGTGACATTTTCTCTGTCATTGCTCAGTGATAGCAAGGGGTGGAAGACTGGGAGAAAATGGATGTGGGACTGGAAGATTGAGGATGTCAACAAATTATGGGAGTGAAACAATAAATGAGCTGAACAGTTGGCAGGTGTGGTCAGAGAAGGTAATGGATTCTCAAAGTTTCAAGGTAGAAAGATTTTGGGAGATGGAACACTTTCTTGTGGGGGGGGGGTTAGAGTAGAGTAGTGGAACCCACTATATTGAGGAAATAACTGTGAGACTGGGGTTTTCATGGAAATTAAAGGTAGTTTATGAAGGTTGAACTTGGGGTGAATAGGAAGACAAAAGAGAGGTTCTGAAGTGTTTGAAACATGTAGAGAGGTGACGGGGAGTTAAATGGAATGAAGTAAAGATACTGTGAGTGACAACAACAAGGAGGAGTAAAAACATGAGATGCTAGAGGACGAGAAAATGAAAGGCAGACAGATTTGACATGAGGGAGGAAGATAATGGTCTGGAAGTAAAAAGCAGGACATTTTAATACCATCCCACTTCTCCAACTCCAGACGTAGGTGACATACAGAAGGATGAGAAGAGCCATTCTCGGGGGTGGGGGGAGCAGGATTTCAGCTGGGGTGCGAGGTAGCGGGAGTTCATGAGGCAGCTGACTCGGGGAGCAGGAGCACAGTGATGAGAGAGAGAGGACTGAAAAGAATGCAGGACCACTGGGGCTTGCATGCCATGTGATCGGCAAAGCAGATGGGATTGGGAGAGAAATTTAGGTGACTGTTCTTAGTGTTCTGAAGAGAACTTAGCTAGAACACTGCGTGCTGTTGCTGGCCGAGGTCTCAGGAGCTGTGAGTCTCTTCACTTCTTCTCTATGGCCTTGTCAGCAGCGAGTTAACTCAGCTTGAGATTCCAAACAGAATATTGATTAAAATACATTTAGAAGATTAAATCCAGAGTAGGGTGTTGGGAGCAAGTGTGAATATGCGTCATGTGTCAAATAAAAGTAGAATTCACTTGTGGATAAAGTGGTTGAAATTCCAATGTGAACTTAGGTAAAACTTAGCTGGAAGGTGTTGAGTTTTTTGGGTTGTGTGATATAATTCACAAAAATATTATTAAAGACTTTGAAAGTCATCTTTCTCAAAGCAGATGCTAATAGCAGCCAAAGAAGCAGTCTCTTTTATCTAGACTCTGAAGATTATAAGAGAGGGTGGGGTGAACACCCTGCCAAAGTCACGGCTAATTTGACTTGCTCTATTCAGATTATGTCATCCTTAATTCTTGCTTTTTAGTTGTAACAAAACTGAACAGCAAATCTTGTTAGGGAAAGAATAAGAAAAGTAGAGTAATTAAGAGAAAAGAAATGACAGCATGCCTGTTCTTTTCTTGCCATCATTCCCAGTTCTCCAAGAGAGTGGTAATAGGACCAGGTAAGTAAGATGCTATTACGTGTTAGGGTCCCTTCCTGGAGGGCACAGCTAAGGATGTCAGACTCGAGTTTGGTCCTGGCTTTGCATTTCTGTTCTATCTTTAGTCATTTCCTGTTTGGTGTGAGTTAACAGTTCCTTTGGTGGATTTTTTTTTTCCCTCTGAGTCATCTTACTTGATAATGTCAGCGATGGGCTCACTGGCACATGTTGTATTGTCAATCTGTGATTCTCACTTTGGGCCATTTCTGTTGCTTGTGTCTCTTCTACTTGCAATTTCCCTTTGGTCGCCATCCCCTATTTTAGGAGAACTAAATCCACATGCAGAGAAATATTATAGGTTAATCTCAGCAGGATGTGTGAGAAAGAGACCTTGGAAACAGGATGAATCTTGGAGTGTCAATTCTATTTGCAGAGACTTGATCCTTGCTTACATGGACCGATCACAGTTGCTGAAAAAAAATAACTCTGTGATATTTTCATGGATTCAGCCATATGGCACCGCCCTACCTGAACCATCATTCTGTTTTCCCTTACAGACACTGAGGAATGCAATATGGACATCCCGTCTGACTGCACAGTATACAAACTCTTTACCTAATGTCGCAGATGGGTTTCATATATCCAAGGGGCTGTTTATTAATGTGGATATTTTTTCTCTTGCTTATTTACATATTGCTCAGAAGCCTGCCTACAACATGGAAATAATTTGCATGCATCTCATTTCTTAGGAGTAAAGCACGCTCCTACACAATAGGGCGCATCATTACACAGAGAGGCAAGTCATTTTGGGATCTCCATTTCCATGCTTTGTGGGGGCAGTGCCATAAAAGCACTCTCTCCACAAATCACTTTCTACAATTTATTTGAAGTTTTGAGCAGTTATAGAGAGGTTCTTAAATGCTTGGAAATAGTAAGGTGTAGCAGAGAAGCAGGACCTTGGAGAGTTTGGTGGAAGTGTAGGCCTTAGAATAAGGCTGACTGAAGAAATATTCCTGGCTTCACTATTTACTACCTGGCAGCCTTAGAAAGTATTTAACCTGTGTCAATCTGGTTCCTCATCTATAAAGCAAGAAAAATAACATGTACCTTGTAAAGTTGTCAGGCTTGGATGCTAGGTATGTACAATTAAAAATGGTTGTGGAAAAGGCATTATTAAAACTAGTGTTAAAATTATTTAGGGATTATTTTTATCTTTGTTTTCTCAGGACAAGGATACTGATGTTTCCAGGAAGTAAAGATAATTGTCTATAATTCTTTGTCTTTACCCCAGAAGAGTTCTTGAAATGCACATTCCCAGTCCCTGTGGGAGTGCCTGGCAAGTGGCAGGTGCTCAATCCACGTTTGTTTAATTAACGATAAAATTGATTCATTCATATGAAAAACATTTAATGTGCCTAAATAAGTATCCATATTTAGGGAGATGAAATCAAAATTTTATAGACAATCATTGGATAATTTTCTGGCAGGAAAAGAAATCGAATATGACAAGATATGTAGATTTTTTTTTCACTCTTTACTTGCTTCAAACTCTTTTGGTTTAGAAACCTGACACTTGGAGAACAATGAAAGAATAGGAACACCATTCCATGAATTTCTTCATCTTTGTACACTGCCTTCCTTTAATAGAAGGCTAGCCTGTCGGAGCACAGCGATCTTGCCTGTTTTATTCTGGCCATTGCCTAAAACAGTGTCCTGAACATAGTAGTTGCTCAATAGTTATTGAATAGATTTCTTGGTCTTCATAATCTAATACCTGGGGAAAAAATTTATAACATATCTTTCTTCTTCTTCACCCCTAGAATTCTGGGAAGCCCACAGTCTTTATATTCAGGATGGGTTTTTTTTTTAATTCTAATGTTTTTAGTTTTTCACAAAACATTTCTTCTTTTACTATTAATTTCCTCTTGTATCACTTGGTTAAATGGTTATCCAAACAATTTACCTTGCATACCTAAATTTGTTTCCGTCAAAAACCTTAAATTTAGCTATCCATAGCAGTCAAGTTGACGTTTCTTTTTTGGTTTAGACCGTGTAGACTTAGTCATGGTTTTCAGATGTTTCTCTTTGGAGCAGACCTTCACTAAGCTTTGAGGAAAAAATGTATATTAATTATTTTCTTAGGACTTAATTTTTTGTTTCTATCAGATAAAACTTCCAGATGGATGGCAGATCATAGAATCACATTGAAGCACTCGATTTGCAAGCTGGAACACAATGATCTGACCATGTCACTGTCAACAGCACAACCGAGTGTACACCTTATGTCTGGATCCTCTAATTTGCACGTTTTTTCCTGACACGTTTACAAAGTCTACAGGCTGAATCCTTCATCCTCACTTAGGAGTTAGTGATGTTTTTAAATATATCAATTCTAATAGGAATTGAATGAGAACCAATAAGCCAAACCATAGACTATTTCCAAAGCCAATTAATATCTTCTTTTGGAACTAGAGTAGGAGTCAGCATCATTGAATTTCTTGTTCTTCTTATAGT